CTGTACATTGATTTTAGTGGATTTGATTAAACAGGAATTTCCACCAGCTTTTCCAATTTAATGTTTTACTATTAAACAACATAAAATCTAAGTTCAAGTTATTGACTGGACTTTGATTTAGAACATCTAGCTGTCAGTGAAATGAATGAAAATAAAACCCCAAGATTAATCGAACATTTTACAGTATGGAAGAAGCATCCATGTCACGTGATTAGTCACCTGGATTCTTGAATTCTGAATATCATTTTATTTTTTTTATTTCATGATGTCAATAACAATTCACGAACCATTTTTTTCATCTGCATTATTGCACGTATATCAGAGTAAAGATAATTCTGCATCGATATACATATGACATTTTACGTTGATTTTGGTGATTAAGGTATGATTAAAACAACATCGACACCGCCATCTTTGTTTTGTCTCAAATACAGGGTACTGGTACACGAGTTTGGGTGTGTCTTTTTATTTAAAAATTGGGATGTAGTTATTATATTTCGATTAAAACGGGATATGCTTAATTAAAATAAGAAAATATGTATCTTAGTAGACATTTATAGCGCGTATATCACTCATTAATTTCATGATCAGATTCCGAGTTCCACAATTCAATGTTTTGTATTGTTTAGTTTTTTGATGCTAAGAGTATGGTGGTGAAAGGAAAGTATAATACTAAACAAAACCATTATAATGTAACGATTTCAAACATCATAACATGTTTGTTGGTTTGTTAAAATTTTACACAAATTGCTAGAAATTATATTTATAAACACGATTCAATAATTTGTTGACCACCATGTACGCCCTCTTCGACTAGGGTAGAAATGGTCCAGATTGTGCTTGCAATCAGTTTTTAAAACTGCAAAAACCCACTCAAATTGTCAATATCACAAAGTAATGTCCTTCATTGCGATTAGCAGACATTCTAAAATACAAATTATAGCCTGGTTTTACTTGTGTAAATTTTTTTTTCATAGAACATTTATCTGAGAAACAATTTAACTCAATTTTTTTTGTAAACACTGTGAACTTTGAACAACGATTTCTATAACTTATATAAGTATTATTGGCTTGCTTTATGGTTTATTGGAACTTCCCAAGTCTGTATAAATCGATTAACATATTTTCGGGTCTTCACCAAACCAGATGCGAATAAGCGAACTGTTTTAATTTATCTCTGAAACACAAACTAAACAACAGAATGGACGCCAGCCATGTTGTTGTAGCAAGGAATGAACTATGTTTTCTCCGACGTTCGTCACAAGAGAATAAAGGTCGGCCGTTCAGCAGGGAAATTTAGATCACTTCTCAATTCTCTACACAGCGAAGAGAACTAATTCACCACGATGTCTGACGCAGCACCCGCTCCACAGAAGAAGGCTACCAAGCCAAAGAAGCCAAGAGCACCGGCTGCCCATCCTAAAACCATTGATATGGTTGTTGCTGCTATCACCAACTTGAAAGATCGCAAAGGGTCTTCTCTTCAGGCCATCAAGAAATACGTCGGCGCTAACTACAAAGTCGACCTTGACAAGATCACTCCATTTATTCGCCGTGCTCTGAAGTCTGGTGTTACCGATGGAAAATTTGTGCAAATCAAGGGTACTGGTGCGTCTGGTAGCTTCAAGCTGAAAGCTAAAGTTAAGGCTGAGAAGAAAGCAAAGAAGCCAAAGACACCGAAGAAACCCAAAGCAAAGAAACCAAAGGCAGCGACGAAAAAGCCAAAGGCAAAGAAACCAAAGGGTAAGACCCCTAAGAAAGCTAAGAAGTCGCCAGCAAAGAAACCAAAGGCAGCAAAGAAGCCCGCCAAGAAAGCGCCAGCAAAGAAGGCAAAGAAGCCAGCAAAAAAAGCTGCTCCCAAAAAGAAGTGAGCGAACAATGGCTTGCTTGCAAACAAACCTAACCAAACGGCCCTTCTCAGGGCCACCACATCCTCCAAAAAGAGTATACCGTAAAACAATAGTGTGTTAAATGAATGAATGATTGTTATTTGTGTCCACTTGTTACCATATTATAGGATGGAAAACTTTGTTGTTGATTTGAGCCCCTGACTGTCGTTGCGAAGTGTACTAGTACATGTATATTACGGTAAAGAGGTGTTTACAGTATTAATTTGTTACATGTGATCTCTGTTCACTCCTTCAGAAACACGGTTGGTTGGCGAGATTGCTTCGTGTCATATAGCTTTAAGCCTGCCGCAAGCACAGTCACTATTTATATCGCAGTCGTGCACCCAGAATACATTAATGGCCTCAGGAATGACCAACAATTAATTACTCACATCTAGTACGTTTTTGTTTGACTTCATATACTACGAAAAAAAAACGGACGTGTTCACATGACGCCCGTGGAGATGGCTGGGAAAGTGTGACCAGTGCAATTTTGTTTTTGCGGTGTATTATTTGTACATTTTTATTTCTCTTGACTTTTTAAAACAAATCTTTTATCCACCCACCCCCCGCAATTTCAAAGGGTCAACCCCTAAGTGAACTTTCCCAATGTTTTTAACGCGAATTGGTTTTATAAATAGCATATAATGTCATGGTCACGTGATATTTATTTCAAAGTGTGTTCAAATTATACGTCTCACAGGTTGTTGTGTGGACCCAGCAGTTTCCAGACCTGTTAGCAGTAGTTAAGAAATGCTGCCTGAATGGCGTATGTGGGAGTCCGCACTGGCAATCATGTCCGTAGTTTGAATGCTAGTCCGTTGCTTGGAAACACTTTTGTAACTCAGAGATTCTGGTTTACATGTCCAAAACTTGCACGTTCAAGTTAATAGAAGGTTCTGTTTGTGAAAAGTATGTGTTTCTAATACTAGTAATAAAAACATTTCATGCGCAGGGTCATTGTTACCATGGTTACTGGTACACGATATCATTGTCCTTAGTTGCCATTGGAGAATTGCCCACTGAAAGACTTTTGTGTGCACAACTAAACCACCCCTTCGATAAAATAATGCAAAACACAAATGTGCCAAAATAAACCTGTGTATGCAGGTAGATCTGCCTTTTCAACAACAATACAGAAACTTTCGAATCAGCTGCTTTAGAGTTAGAAATGGGGGAGTTGTGGTCAATAACCCAATGGCTTGTCTCGTACTGCGCGAAATCACTTGCTGTGACGATGTCGCTGATTGGCTACTCCGTCGCAATGTAAATATAACGCGGGGAACTTATTCGTAGATTATGATAAATCTGTAACATATACAGTAGGATGCCAGTTCTAAATAGTAAAAAATACATGATGTCTCATTAAAGTTTGAGAAGTAGTGCTTTTAGACCACTTGGACGGGAAATGTGTTGAACGCGAGATGGTTGTGTTCTTGTTAATCACAACTAGTGACCGCGAACCGAGGAATTAAACCAGATCCAAGGTACTTTCTTGTCAAGCCACTTCACATCAACTGCATGATCCACACGTTTTCACTGTTTTACGTGTTCGTGTAAACTTTTTATACACAATTAAGCTGTACAAATCACGTGACCTCTGCAGTAATAAATAGCATACGTGGTGGCCATTAAGTTCTAGACATCCATATTAGTGACTCAGTGTATTTATATTTTTTAGTGTACACACGACATTCTACTAATTATGCCACCCTGCTCATTACACTTATAAAAACAATTATGCAACTGTAATTCTGACACAACTATGGACATCTTTGAGTCAGATTACGTTAAAACTTGTTGTCACACATATAACTAAACATAACCATGAAACGATCTACTTCAGACTTATGAATAATGTATGTTTCAAATAGTAATTTGCTCAAGAGCTAAATATTCGTTGTCTACGTCCATAGTTATATAATGTTGAACTACGGTATCTGATTATAATTACCTAGAACTAACGTTAATGCAATAATACAATTTCCGGATTGGTCAATTTAAATTCTAACATCCATTTTGATTATAAAAATGTATATTTATAAAACGTGTATAACGACACAGTCTAATGCCCTTCACTGTAATTAATTATATAAACAATGATGAAATGTGGTTGGGAAAACAATATCACATGATTTGATATTGTCCACAGGTGATTCCATTAATACTGTTGAACAACTGAAAGTATAAATTTTACAAAAAAAACAAGGAAATACATATAACATAGAGCAAATATATCCCTGTATTTTCTGACAGAAGACTTACTCGTTCAGTAGTATGTATAGTGGTGATGTAACTACCAGCGTAAAAGGCAGATATGTTTACTGTGTTTCCACACAGACCCAAAGAGTAACAAGTAATTAAACGAATAATTCAGAATTGTTAACTCTTCATTTTGCTCTAGATTGTGAAAAAACTGACGTCCATACCTATAGTGTCATGCACCATAATACGCCATCCCTTATTCCGAAATGTTGGTGATTGAACGATGATCAAAAACAATGTCGATATTTTAACAATCTGTGTTCTGTCTCAAATGACTTTTTCTTAATGTTGGAATGTAGTTATTATATTTCTATTAAAGCGAAATATGGTATAAATTTAAAAATAAAAAATATATGTAATTCCCTCGGTCGTTGAAGTTTGAAGCTGATATAGATACATGTTTTAAATTGCGTGGCCAATCTTTTCACAATCGAATGACACGTATTGTTTTGTTGCGGCACCGCCGCCATATTCCCAGCGAAAACTATACTAAAACGCAACCATTGTAAAATGTAACGATTTCCCTCATCATGAAATAATTGTTGTTATAAATTTAACAGAAATTGCTAGAAATTATATTTATAAACACGATTCAATAATTTGTTGACCACCATGTACGCCCTCTTCGAGTAGGACAGAAATGGTCCAGATTGTGCTTGCAATCAGTTTTTAAAACTGCAAAAACTCACCCAAATTGTCAATATCACGACGTAATGTCCTTTATTTCGATTAGCAGACATTCTAAAATACAAATTATAGCCTTGTTTTACTTGTGTCAATTTATTTTTCATAGAAAATTTATCTGAGAAACAATTTTAACTCAATTTTTTTGTAAACACTGTGAACTTTGAACATGGATTTCTATAACATATATAAGTATCATCGGCCTGTTTTGTGGTTCATTAGAACTTCCCAAGTCTATATAAATCGATTAACATATTTTTGAATCTTCACCAAACCAGATGCGAATAAGCGAACTGTTTTAATTTCTCTCTGAAACACAAACTAAACAACAGAGTGGACGCCAGCCATTTTGTTTTAGCAATGAGTAGGACATGTCTTCTCCGACGTTCGCCATTGGAAAATATAGGTCGGTCATTTAGCGGGAAATTCAGATTACTTCCTGACTGTACAGTGAACAACTAACCTACCACGATGTCTGACGCAGCACCTGCTCCACAGAAGAAGGCTACCAAGCCAAAGAAGCCAAAGACACCGGCTACCCACCCTAAAACCATCGATATGGTTGTTGCTGCTATCACCAACTTGAAAGATCGCAAAGGGTCTTCTCTTCAGTCCATCAAGAAATACGTCGGTGCTAACTACAAAGTCGACCTTGACAAGATCACTCCATTTATTCGACGTGCTCTGAAGTCTGGTGTTACCGATGGGAAATTTGTGCAAACCAAGGGTACTGGTGCGTCTGGTAGCTTCAAGTTGAAAGCTAAAGTTACGGCTGAGAAGAAGGCAAAGAAGCCAAAGACACCAAAGAAACCCAAGGCAAAGAAACCAAAAGCCAAGAAACCAAAGGCAGCGACGAAGAAGCCAAAGGCAAAGAAACCAAAGGCCAAGACCCCAAAGAAAGCTAAGAAGTCGCCAGCAAAGAAGCCGAAGGCAGCAAAGAAGCCTGCCAAGAAAGCGCCAGCAAAGAAGGCAAAGAAGCCAGCAAAGAAAGCTGCTCCCAAAAAGAAGTGAGCGAACAATGGCTTGCTTGTTTGCAAACAAACCTAACCAAACGGCCCTTTTCAGGGCCACCACATCCTCCAAAAAGAGAATACCGTAAAACAATAGGTTTACGATTTGTTGTTTGTATTTGCATGGATCCTACATATTACTACGGTTACTAGTAACCGTGATATTACGTTACACACTGTTGCGTGTCAACATTTTTGCACAACTTTGCGGCCGTTTTTAAAATTTTTGTACAAAAAGTCTGTAAATGAAGCGTGGATAGATACTTTTAGTATTTAATACATTTTAGTCAAACATCTTATCATCACGTTTAGGCTGTTCTGGGCTACGGCTTGGATATAGTTCATCCAGCGTTTGCTGTCCCATCGAAATTTGTTTGAAACGCAACGGCGAGCGACTGCAACTAAATGAGATATGTTGGCTGTATATATTTACAGGGACATACAACTGTGGGTATTCTTTTCATGTAACCTTAGTTCTGATCATCTATCCAATTAACACCTTAGAACTGACAATAAATCTACACAAAACGAGCCAATTTTGTGGTGAGAATATAATCAGAAAAAATACATTTGATCAAAACTGAATAGCCAAGTCCATTCTATTGATACGAGTCAGTGAAACTAAAAATACAACTATTAAAACATGAAATGGAAACAAAAAAGGTCAATTTTCTTTACAATGAAACAAAACTGCCCAAATTTAAACAATAACCTGTCAAAATGATTACAAGTGAATTTTCCATCATATTTTGAACAGATATAGCATAATCCACCCGTTATACACTGACAAATGTGAATATTGGCACAGCATTACTTATCAAACATATAAAAAAGCGTAAAAAGATAGAAACTAAAACAGTTTCAGGTGTATAAATCTACTAAGTATAATAATAATAATAATGAACTTTATTGATATCGGAACTTTATAGGATCTTGAATTAAATTACAATAAATAAATTACGGGTATATGTATTACTAGTAATAGGACTATCTATACAGGAGATTATAACCCACATTGCACGC